CCTCTTGCAGAGCTTGACATATCTCATCAGAATTTCTCCAGAAAGTCAGCTTGTCGTATTTTCAGCAGCCTTAATTCAAATGCAATTTTTCTTGTCCCATTCCATTTTCATATTAATTTTGGAAGTCCTCCTCCAATATACAGTGAAACACGTATTTTCACCTTTAGTGCTTCAGTTGCCTTGTGAAGCTCCTTAATAACCAATGATAAAGCTTAATTCCTTGTTCACAAAGCTGTACACAAATAGAGTTTCCATATCTAAGCTAGTATTCAAAATTCTTGAAATCTCAAGCAGAGCGTGTGGCACAGATTGAACACGCCTAATCCCAAAATCTGAAGAGTGAAATGCTCCAAAATCCGAAACTTTTTAAGCACCCACATGACATCACAGTGGAAAATTCCACACCTCATATGCTGGATCAAAGTCAAAATGCAGGTGCAAAACACAGTTTATTCAGCATCCCGTCCATGGTCTCCCGAACTGCGTTCAGACTCCTGCCCCTGCTACTCACCATGGCTGAGGCTGAGGGAGGCCTGTTTTTCTTTTAAAGTAGAAAAAGATAGATTGACTTTTCAAGGCCTCTTAGAAGTCCCTGACTCTGAAAATTATTTGAGAAGAATCTATTTTAAATAGTGCCAGAAGGTGGCGTATTTCCCAGCATTTGTTTCAAGCTGAGAAAAATCAGAGCCAGTGATGAATATATGAAAATAAGAAATGGCTACCTTTTATTTCTCTCTTTCCCTTTCTTTCTTTCTCTTTCCTTCCTTCCTTCCTTCTTTCCTTCCTTCCCTCCTTCCTTCCCTCCCTCACTTCCTCCCTCCTTCCTTCCTTCCTTCCTTTCTTCCCTCCCTCACTTCCTCCCTCCTTCCTTCCTTCCTTCTCTCTCTCTTTCTTTCTTTTTTGAGACAGGGTCTCACTCTGTCACCCAGGCTGGAGTGCAGAGGTACGATCATGGCTAACTGCAGCCTAGAGCTCCCAGGCTCAAGTGATCCTCCCACCTCAGCCTCCCGAATAGCTGGGACTACAGGCACATGCCACCATACCTGGCCAATTTTTGTATTTTTTGAAGAGACAGGGTCCTGGACTCAAGTGATAGGCCCACCTCAGCTTCCCAAAGTGCTGGAATTACAACTGCTACAGTGCCCAGCCTGCCTTTTCTTGTTTCTAAGAATACAAGTAGAAAAATCTTTGTCATTTCCTTTTCTCCTCAGCGGGAGTTTGAATTTTATATTAAATAGCTAAAGGATTCCTAATTTTACTTTTTTTATAGTAAAATTTGTCTGATTAAAATTCCAACCCATTGCCAATCTTCACATCATGGGATGTCTCAAGAGCTGTGGTCAAGCATCTAAACCCCAGGGGACCAGAAAGCCACGTGCATCTTCATAGTGTGCTACCAGTCATAGGATGTCATGGCTTGTGTGCTTGGATTTTATGTTGCTTCAGTGCTTCTCAAAATTTCCCAGATGGGACCAGAGATTTCAACTTAGCCCGGAACCAGTATCTACAGCCACCCTGTCTGGCTCCCCAGAGAATGTCCGGGGTTGTGAAAGACCTGGTTCTCTGCTTCTCTGCACGTGGTTTTCTGGTCCCCTGGGGTTTAGGTGCTTTCTGGTCCCCTGGGGATTAGATGCTTGACCACAGCTCTTGAGACATCCCATGATGTGAAGACTGGCAATGGGTTGGAATTTTAATCAGATATATTTTACTATGAAAAAAGTAAAATTAGGAATTCTTTGGCTCTTTAACACAAAATTCAAACTCTCACTAAGGAGAAAAAGAAATGACAAAGATTTGTATGGAATTTGCATATTCTCCCCATATCTGCGTGGATTTTCTCCAGGTACTCCAGTTTCCTCCCACATTCCAAAAATGTGTATGTGAGCTGAACTGGCATGTCCACATGGTCCCAGTGTGAGTGAGCGTGGGTTGTGAGTGTGAGTGCGCCCTGACATGGATGGTGGCCTGTCCAGGGTGGGTTCGTGCCTTGTGTCCTGAGCTGCCAGGGGAGGCTCCTACCACTCACTACACTGAACTGGAATAATTGGGGAATTAATTATCTTACTCGTTGTTATTGGTCTTTCTTAAATGTGTGTGTGGCTTACATTTATTTCAGAGTTTAGTATTAGAAGTGTTTGATCTTTATTTAATAGTTTGGTGATATTTTTGTGACCAGAAATATGCCATAGGAACTTAACTCTTGTTCATTTCAATTAGCCTATGGTAAAGTTAGTTTACTTATACATCCTTTTGCTTAAAGTGGCAGTTTCCAAGAATCTGTTGACGACATTAAGTGAAGACTTACTATCTCAATAAATTTCAACATATGTGTCTTAGTCAGCTTGGGCTGCCATAACAATAAAACACAGACTGGGTCAGGCATGGTAGCTCACATCTGTAATCCCAGGATTTTAGGAGGCTGGGAGTTTGAGACCAGCCTAGTCAACATAGTGAGACCCCATCTTCATAAAAAAAAAAAAAAAAAAAAAAAAAAAAAAAAAAAAAAAAAGGACTGGGTGGCCTAAACAACAGAAATTTGTTTCTCAGCCTCTTGGGAGGCCGGGAAGTCTGAGATCAAGGCGGCAACAAGGTAGGTTTCAGTCAGATATCTCTACTCTTGGCTTGTAGGTGGCCACTATCTCACAATGTACTCACATAACCTCTTCTTTATTTGAGCAGGGAGAGTGAGCAAGATCTCTGGTATCGCTTTTTAGGAAGGCGGTAATCCTATTCTGTCAGAGCTCTACCCTTATGACTTCATGTAATCTTAACCATGTTAAAGGCCCTGTGTCTGATAGAGTCCCATGTATTGGAGGGGTTAAGGCTTTGATATATGAATTTTTAAAATAAATATTAGTAATATGAACATGATTATGAATATAAACAATTCAGTCCATAGCCCTAAGACTAATTTTTTAAGGAGAATAAAGCTATGTATATATATTTTACTTAAGTTATATAACTCAATACACAAATCAAAATAAAGAATTAAAGAACATTTTAGATAATTTAGGAGAATGACTTAATGTAGATCCTTTGGAACTTTTCCCTTACTGGAACATAAGTTCCATGTGGGCAAAGGTTTTTGTCTTTTCTATTCATTGCTAAATTCTCATTCCTAGAACAGTGAATAGCTCATAACTGATGTTCAGTATTTATTGAATACATGATTGAATGTTGTCTCTCCTTTTTTGGAGCAAGGAGGCCCTGTATCAGCGCTTAGGAGCCACAGATCATTAAGACAGATTGCCTTAATTGAACCTTGGCTCTATCACTTACTGTTTTTTACCTTGAACAAGTTACTTTAGCTCTCTGTGCCCTAATTTTCTCCTCCACAAAATGAACATTTTAAGGTTGCACGAATTAAATGAATTAATAGAGTAAAACCATTTAGAACAGTATTTAATACTTAGTACACAGAAGTAGGTACCTCGAAGTTGGTTATAAATGTTAGATATTATTTTGCATGTATAGCTAATTCTCCTTTCTATGTATGTGATTATAATCCAAGAAACTATTCTGTAAAGTCAGTAATATGGGACACTTTTTGCCTTTTCTTTCAGGAAAAAAAATTGAGGCATGGAGATAGAAAGACTGTAAATGTGATAGCCAACTGCTGGGTCCCACTGGATTAGTCAAAGTAGGACAATATGCTTGCATTTTCCTGCAATTGTTTACTAACTGGAGTTTTCATTCTTCACTTAATCAGTCGTTCGTAAGCTATGAATCTAGATTGAGCCCCTACATTCCCTATGTGCAAGCAACATAAAAATCTCTAACGTGCAAATGTAAAATCACCTAATTTTTGGATCCTGTTATTATTATTATTTTGAGACGGAGTTTCCCCCTTGTTGCCCAGGCAGGAGTGCAATGGCGCCATCACCACTCACTGCAACCTCCGCCTCCCGGGTTCAAGCGATTCTCCTACCTCAGCCTCCCTAATAGCTAGGATTACGGGCGCCTGCCACCATGCCCAGCTAATTTTTACTAGAGAGGGTTTTCTCCATGTTGGTCAGGTTGGTCTCAAACTTCTGACCTCAGGTGATCCACCTGCCTTGGCCTCCCAAGCTGGGTTTACAGGTTTGAGCCACCGCGCCCGGCCCTGTTACTACTTTTAAAATACAAATTTGGCCGGGCACGGTGGCTCACGCCTGTAAACCCAGCACTTTGGGAGGCCAAGGCGAGTGGATCACGAGGTCAAGAGATCGAAACCATCCTCGGCAACATGGTGAAACCCTGGTCTCTTCTAAAAATACAAAAATTAGCTGGGCGTGGTGGCACATACCTGTAGTTCCAGCTACTCCGGAGGCTGAAGCAGGAGAATTGCTTGAACCCGGGCAGTGAGCTGAGATCGTACTACTGCACCACAGCTGGCAACAGAGCAAGACTCTGTCTCAAAAAAAAAAAAAAAAAAAAAAATTATACTCTCCTTTAGTCATTAGGTATTTTCTGAAGCAATAGAAGCTGAAAATATAGAAACTACACCCAGAATCGTCTAAATTTTTGGATGATGAAAAAAAGAGTTTTTTTTTTTAAATCAGACAACAGTGCTTTAGGGGCTTCTAATATATATTTTAATTGTAATTTCACATGCAATATGTTGTAAATCTTGATCGCTTAATCAGAATCGTAGAGAATCTCTCTTCTAGGTTTGCAGTTAACTGTGAAAACCAAAAGCTTCACCTTTGGCTGGGTAGTGGGTGTAGGGGTTGGAGGCTGCCGCAAGGTAAACTACGACTCCCAGGAGTCTTTGGTGGTCGCTCCTGAAAGCTGTAGTTTATTCCTACCTAGGCCCCTCCCTCCTTCCCTCCCACCATCTGCACCCACGCTCTGGGCTCGCGATTTGGATACGTATGGCGCGAGGGCGGTAGTCTCATGACAATTTCATGCTCGCTTTTTTCGTTTTTCTCATTTAGTTCAGTTATGTCTTTTTAGTCCACTGTTACGCATGCTCGAGGACTACTCCTCCGGAGAGCGGTAGTGGCGGGGGAGGAGCTGGGAGCATGTGTTAACCCGGAAGAAGTGAACCAGGAAGTGAACCTGCTCTCGGCTTTGGCGGGCTGAAATGTGGTGGGTCTCGGAAGACTCCGGCCTCAGTAAAGAAAGCTAACTTCCATTCTTCTTTTTCTTAGGTACTTTTTTCCTGATCTTCCCCGCCGCCTCCCGTATTGCCTCTTTATGGAATCACTCCATATACTGAGTTACACAGCATGGTTTGCCGGTGCTGCTGCCCCGCGGGCTGTCACTTCTGACCTGCCGACGCTCAGAACACTCCCTAAAGCATCAGAGTAATACTGTTACTGTGATCGGTACTGGCGGAGCCGTGCTGTTCTCAGGTGTAGTTAATCTTGGAGAGTAAACATCTTGGGCTTTTTTTTTCTTTAATGTTAAGATTCATGACCTTGAAAGTTATTCATTCTACTATTGTTCCTAAAATGGAAATTTTAGCAATAAGTATTCGTAGAGACATGTATTTATTAGTCTTTATTCTGCCTGTTAGCAAGTGGACACACTTTCTCTAATAAGCTTGAAACATCGAGGCGATGGAGTGTAATGTTTGTGACAGCTGGCCATTGGTGCTTTCTTCCACATTTCTTTTAATAATGTGATGCAGTATCCTAAAATCTATCAGTAGAACCCTGGAAACTTTGAATATTTTAAAGACCATTCTGAATATTTTATTTCCTAGGTGATAATGCTAAGTTAACATACTTACAGTGATCAAATGACCTAATGTATCTATGCACCTCCTAGCATAGTAGGATCACTGGAGACAGTAAAGGTTGATTTTGATAAATTTTGACCCTTCTTTTTTGCTCAGGCTGGCCTTGAACTCCTGGGCTCAAGGGATCCTCCTGCCTCAGTCTCCTGGGTAGCTGGGACAATAGGTGCATGCTACTCTTCGTGGCTTGGCCCTTATTTCAACTTTGAACCTCGAGGTTTTAGGGGCAAAGTGTTTTTCTTGGAACACTATATTTTCTCTTTCTTAGTAAGACCATTGTGTACTTTTGTTAGCTCTTGATTATCTCTGTTGGAAGGGAGGAGAACAGAAAATTATTATACACAGCCAATTTCACATAACGTGTAATTTTTTTTTTTTTTTTTTTTTTTTTTGAGACAGAGTTTCACTCTTGTTACCCAGGCTGGAGTGCAATGGCGTGATCTCGGCTCACCGCAACCTCCGCCTCCTGGGTTCAGGCAATTCTCCTGCCTCAGCCTCCTGAGTAGCTGGGATTACAGGCACGCGCCACCATGCCCAGCTAATTTTTTGTATTTTTAGTAGAGATGGGGTTTCACCATGTTGACCGGGATGGTCTCGATCTCTTGACCTCGTGATCCACCCGCCTCGGCCCCCAAAGTGCTGGGATTACAACATGTAATTTTTTAAACTAATCTTTTTTTTTTCTGATTATGAATGTAATCAATGCTATATGTGCAGGAGACTTGGAAAACACCTAAAAGTAGAAAAAATCGCAAGCAAAATGTATTCATAATCTCACAACTAGAAATCATTTTATTAACATTTTGGTATGTTTCCTTTATTATTATTATTATTTTTTTTCAAATTTCAAAGGAAGGGCTAATTTTAATCATGTTAATAACTAACTCAAAAATACAATCTTTTTTATTAAGGAATCCTAATGACTGAGGTAGATGATGCTGTTATCAGTTATTGAAGTAATTTGGTTTAAGATACGAAAATGATGAAACCGAGGGAAAGAAAGCACTGTTTTGAAATTATCTTCTTTTAAATTTAGATGGATAATTAAGAATGCTTCCAATTTAAGGTTCTAAGCACAAAATCCAGATATGTCATGTTATAGACTTGCTTCCTGAAGATGAAATCAGCAGTCGATGGAAAGAATCCACACACTTAAACAGCAAATCACAAATGGTGGTCTCCATGAAGCCAGTAGCTTTGCATTTGATATTTCTACCTAGGCTCATTTCCAATTGTTCAGGATTTGGATTCCTGAAGGCTTCTTCAGCATTTAAGTAATTCTTTGTTGGCTGAAGGGGCTGGGACTGTTTCTCCACACACAAACTGATCTTTGTCATAAATCACTTTTATAATGAGAGAGCAGCTAGGACACGTTGCCACGTCTTCCCCATTCTCCAAATCTTCCCTGGTGATAGAGAAGTTATCTCCACATGGGCAGGGTTAGAAATACGTCTCCGAGTCCTCGTCATATTGGAAGTCCTTGATTTCGACCTCGTCGTGAAATACTGCCATGGTCAGCGGAGATCGGCAAGGGGTGATGCTCCGGCAGTCCGAAAGCAGCTTCGAGGGTGAACTTCGCCGGAGCCGCCCAGGGCTAGGCATCATCACCTATTATTATTTTTTTTAAAGATGGGGTTTCACCATGTTGGCCAGGCTGATCTGGAACTCCTGATCTCAAGTGATCCACCCACCTCTGCCTCCCAAAGTGTTAGGATTACAGGCGTGAGCCACTGCGCCCAGCAGTATGTTTCTTTTCTTTCTTCTTCTTTTTTTTATTTTTGAGATGGAGTCTTGCTTTGTCACCTATGCTGGAGTGCAGTGGTGTGATTTTGGCTCACTGCAACCTCCACCTCCCAGGTTCAAGCAATTCTCCGGCCTTAGCTTCCCAAGTAGGTGGGACTACAGGCATGTGCCACTACAGGCACGTGCCATCAAGCCTGGCTAATTTTTTTCAGTATTTTTATTAGACAGGATTTTCCCATGTTGCCAGGATGGTCTTGAACTCCTGACCTCAGATGATCCACTTGCCTTGGACTCCTAAAGTGCTAGGATTACAGGTGTGAGCCACTGTGCCCGGCACATTTTAGTATGTTTCTTATTTAACTTTCTTTATAAAAAATACTTTATGTGCTTTTTTTGTAACATGTATTCCACATTTTGTAGAATAGTTTTTTTTTTTTTTTTTTTTTTTTTTGAGACGGAGTTTCGCTCTTGTTACCCAGGCTGGAGTGCAATGGCGCGATCTCGGCTCACCGCAACCTCCGCCTCCTGGGCTCAGGCAATTCTCCTGTCTCAGCCTCCTAAATCGCTGGGATTACAGGCACGCGCCACCACGCCCAGCTAGTTTTTATTTTTAGTGGAGACGGGGTTTCACCATGTTGACCAGGATGGTCTCGATCTCTCGACCTCGTGATCCACCCGCCTCAGCCTCCCAAAGTGCTGGGATTACAGGCTTGAGCCACCGCGCCCGGCCTGTAGAATAGTTTTTAAATGTAATTGAGATTCTACTTTGTCCCTTGCTTTTTTCACTTAATATAATTGTCACCACTGTCTGCTTTTCACCAGCCCTACTTTCTTAGTCTGTTAATACTTGAACTGTTCTTCCTTTAGGATCTCAAATGAAAGGGAAGCACTTTTGAAAAGTGCTGAGTCCTGAAAAGACAGCTTATATTCTAATACCAGCTCTGTCTATGCAGCCAACTAAATAGATTAAGTTACTTGACTTCCTTGGACATCTAGATCCTTAAAATTAAAGAATTATACAAGATAATAATAATATTTTCTTCAAACTTTAGAAAGTGACTCTTTGAACCACCTTAAGGTTGTATGTTTTCACTGCTGTCAAGAGCTTGTTTATACACTCAATTCTAGATTCTGGATACTTTCTAGAAACTAACAGATTTAACTCATTCGGTTGATGTATTTGTTAGTTGTACTCCTACTCATATGCTTTAGTTAATTACATATGTTGAGCAGGTAGGAAGCAGTGCTGTTTTTATTTTTATTTATTTTTATTTATTTATTTATTTATTTTTGAGACAGAGTTTCACTGTGTCGCCAGGCTGGAGTGCAATCTCAGCTCACTGCAATCTCCGCCTCCCAGGTTCAAGTGATTCTTCTGCCTCAGCCTCCCTAGTAGCTGGGATTACAGGCATGTGCCACGACACTCAGCTAATTTTTGTATTTTGAGCAGAGACAGGGTTTCATCATGTTGGCCAGGATGTGTTTTTATTTATTTTAATACATTATTCATACATTTGAAGAATTATTTTCTTTTTGTAGGCAGTTGGATTTTAAGACTGGAGCTGGCTGAGACAGTAAATGAAACAAGATTTCATGATTTTCCTTCCAGCTTTATTATGCATGTATTTTTACAGCTGACTTTTTAAAAGTCTGTGTTTATCGTATTTCAGATGCTGAGATGAATCGACACCTGTGTGTTTGGCTTTTTAGACATCCATCTCTTAATGGTTACCTCCAATGTCACATCCAGCTCCATTCTCATCAATTTGGACAGATACATCTTGATACAAGGAGGCAGGTTTTTAGACAAAACGGGAATTGCATTCATCATCATCTGCTAAGTAGGAATTGGTCCAGGAGATATTGTCATCAATACACCAAGATGCTCTGGAAGCATAAAGCACTACAGAAATATATGGAGCACCTGAACAAGGAGTACCAAACACTTGAGCAAAGTCTGCAGCATATCTCTGTGAATGAAGAGAACCGAAGGTCCTTGAACAGAAGGCGTGCTGAGTTGGCACCTCTTGCAGCCATTTACCAAGAAATTCAGGAGGCTAAACAAGCCATTGAAGAATTAGAATCAATGTGTAAAAGTAAGTAAAAGATACATATGTGTCCTACGGAAGAGCTATGAGAAAAAACCACATACTTATATATGTGCGTGTAAGTACAGGTTTGATTTTCTAAGTTCAAGCTTTATTGAACTTAGTCTTTGTTTTGTTTTGTTTTCCACTGAAACAGGGTCTCGCTTGTTGCCCAGGCAGGAGTACGGTGACTCATTCGTAGCTCACTGTAACCTCTAAGTCCTGGCCTCCCATCTCAGCCTCCTGAGTAGCTAGGACTGCTGTGCCAGGGCCTTCCAAGGCCACGTGATTATAGCCACTGAGCCACTGAGGCTGCCCTGAACTCAGTCTTTCATAAAACCTACAGGTAATAAGCTCAACACTTGGAAAGAACAGGACTCTGTACATACTTTATCTACTAAAGACCAACTATTCTACGTAACTGGGCTCCTCGTGGTACTTGCCATGGTCTTAGGGTCTGCAAGACAAAATGTTGGCCTTTTCAGAAACTTTATTTTATTGAGCAGACCTTTATTGAACACTGTAGCTACATGCTACAGCTACACATACAGTTCCTACCCCATCAACGGGCTCCTATGATCTAGTGTGAGAAATTTATTTAAGTGTTGTTTATAATGTGAGACCTGCTGTACCAGAGGAAGGCACAGGGTTTCATGGGAGCAAAGAGGAAAGCTTCCTGGAGGAGACTGCGCGTTAGTGGAGCCATGAAGGAAGGAAGCTTTATATTTCTTTTTTCTTTTTCTTTTCTTTTCTTTTTTTTTTTTTATAGGCAGAGTCTCACTCTCTCACCCAAGCTGAGTGCAGTGGTACAATCTTGGCTCACTGCAACCTCTGCCTCCCGGGGTCAAGTGATTCTCCTACCTCAGCTTCCCCAGTAGCTGGGACTATAGAAGCACGCCACCACGCCCAGCTAATTTTTGTATTTTTAGTAGAGATGGGGTTTCACCATGTTGGCCACACTGGTCTCAAACTCCTGACCTCAGGTGATCTGCCCAGCTTGGCCTCCCAAAGTGCTGGGATTACAGGCATGAGCACCACACCCAGCCTAAGAAGCTTTATATTTCATGTTGTAAATTTTGAATTTATTCTTTAATGTTTACTCCAATTGTAGTTTTAGATTACTTGGAATTTGTATGTTTAATGGCTGGAAATATTTGCCAGGACAAACAGCTAACAGATTTCTTAGAACCCTAGAATTATTTGTAGTTATTATCATCAAATAATAAGCCTAAGTGTCTTTATTATTACTTTAAGCACCAAACAAAGCATCTCCACACAGACAAGACCCCCATTCTCCAGAAGGTTATACACTACCAACCAGGTGTTGAAAACAATCAGTTCTACCTATTTTTCAAATCTAGAACCTTCTAAAATTGAATATGTTTATACATGGGTTGCCATGCTAGGATTTCAAGGTGGAAATATCCAAATACTGTTTCTAGATTTCTTGTAGTAGTTTAATTAAAGTGATTTTTTTTTTCTAGGAATCTGGTAAGGTTAACTCAGTTATTAATTTAGTCATTTATTCAGCTAGCATCTGCTGGAGGCTTACTAAGAGCCAGGCATTGTTGTAGGAAGCAAAGAGTAAGCCCTGAGGAGCTTACCAATCCTATGGGTGTGAAGTGCTATCTTATTGTGGTTTTGATTTGCATTTTCCTGAAGATTAATGATGTTGAGCATCTTTTCTGGTGCTTTTTGGCCATTTGTATATCATGTTGGCGGAAATGACTGTTCAGTTCCTTTGTCAGTTTTTAAATTGAATTGTCTTTTTATTATTGAGCTGTAAGTAGTCTTTATATTCTAGATAAAAGTCCATAATCAGATACATGATTTGCAAAACTTTCCCATTCTGTGGTTTTTCCCTTTGTCTTTGATAAAGGGAAGCATGATATTTTTAAATTTTGATGATGTACAATTTATCTTTTTTTCTCGTTGCTTGAGTTTTGGGAGTCATATCTAAGAAAATCGCCTAATCTAAGGTCACAAAGATTTACATCTGTGTTTTCTTTTTTACTTTTTTTTTTTCTTTTTTTTGAGACGGAGTTTCGCTCTTGTTACCCAGGCTGGAGTGCAATGGCGTGATCTCGGCTCACTGCAACCTCCGCCTCCTGGGTTCAGGCAATTCTCCTGCCTCAGCCTCCTGAGTAGCTGGGATTACAGGCACGAGCCACCATGCCCAGCTAATTTTTTGTGTTTTTAGTAGAGACTGGGTTTCACCATGTTGACCAGGATGGTCTCGATCTCTCGACCTCGTGATCGACCCGCCTCGGCCTCCCAAAGTGCTGGGATTACAGGCTTGAGCCACCACGCCCGGCTTACCTCTGTGTTTTCTTAAAAGAGTTACGTATTTTTAATTTTTACCCCATGCATTTAGGTCTTTGATCTATTTGAGTTATATTTTTATATGGCATGTTTATTTTTTATCTTTTTTTTTTTTTAAGGGATGGGGCCTCACCATGTTGCCCAAGTTGGACTCAAACTCCGGGGCTCAAACAATCCTTCAGCCTCAGCCTCCTGAGTAGCTGGGACTACGAGCTATGCTTCATCTTAGTTTTTTATTTTAGTATTTTTATTTTGAGACAGAGTCTCACCCTGTTGCCCACACTGGAGTGCAATGGTGTGATCTTGGCTCACTGCAAACTCTGCCTCTTGGGTTCAAGGGATTCTCCTGCCTCAGCTTCCCGAGTAGCCAGGACTACAGGCATGCTCCACCACACCCAGCCGATTTTTCTAATTTTAGTGCACATGGGGTTTCACCCCATGTTGGTCAGGCTGGTCTCAAACTCCTGACCTCATGATCCACCCACCTCAGCCTCCCAAAGTGCTGGGATTACAGGCAGGAGCCGCCGCGCCCGGCTTTAGTATTTCTTAATACTGCTATTGCCTCGACATTTTTTCTTTTATGAAAAATTTCCAAAATTTTTACACAGAAGTTGAGAGAAAAATTCATTGAACTAACCTGTGATTCAACATTTATCCAGATTTGCTATTAACTTTTAGTTTCTAGATTTTCTCCTGTCCCTCATCTTGTCTCATTAAGCCTTAGAGGTAATATGTGATGTACAGGCCAGTCACTGTTGTACCTATAAAGTCCTGAATGTTTAAAGCCTTATAGTTTTCTACCTTCTACTGATGGTACCACAGTCTTTTACATAGGTTTAATGCCACACAAATTTGTAATTAATTAGCTTTGAGAAGATTGCTTGTACATAGTAAGAGTTTACTAAATGCATTCTAATTAAATTGGCATAACTTCTTTCAGCCTTGGTGGTATCATGAATAACAGTAGATTGGATTACATCATTTCTTTTTTTTTTTTTTTTTGAGACGGAGTTTCGCTCTTGTTACCCAGGCTGGAGTGCAATGGCGCGATCTCGGCTCACCGCAACCTCCGCCTCCTGGGTTCAGGCAATTCTCCTGCCTCAGCCTCCTGAGTAGCTGGGATTACAGGCACGCACCACCATGCCCAGCTAGTTTTTTGTATTTTTAGTAGAGACGGGGTTTCGCCATGTTGACCAGGATGGTCTTGATCTCTCGACCTCGTGATCCACCCACCTCGGCCTCCCAAAGTGCTGGGATTACAGGCTTGAGCCACCGCGCCCGGCCGGATTACATCATTTCTAAAGGCTCTACTAGCTCTACAATTCTTCTATAATAATAATGCTACATTTACAAAGTCCTCTTATGTGCTAGGCACTAAGCTCAGTGCTTTACAAATATCTCATTTGAATGCTCAGGTAACCTTATGAGTAGTATATATTATTATTCCCCCTCCCCCTTTTCTTTGTTTTGTTGTTGTTGTTGTTGTTTTGATTTTGTTTTGAGACAGAGTCTCACTCTGTTGCCCAGAATGGAGTGCAGTGGTGTGATCTTGGCTCACTGCAACCTTTGCCTCCTGGGTTCAATTGATTCTCCTGCCTCAGCCTCCCGAGCAGCTGGGACTACAGGTGCACGCCACCATGTCCAGCTAATTTTTGTACTTTTAATAGAGATGGGGTTTCAGCATATTGGCCAGGCTGGTCTCAAACTCCTGACCTCATGATCCACCCACCTCAGCCTCCTGAAGTGCTGGGATCAGGTGTGAGCTACTGCGTCTGGCCTCTTTGTTTTTATTTTATTTTTTTAGAGACAGAGTCTTGCTCTGTGGCCCAGGCTGGAATGCAGTAGCATAATCATAGTTCAATTTAACCTCAAACTCCTGGAATCCAGCAATCCTCCAACCTCAGCTTCCTAAGCAGCTAGGACTACATGTGTGTGCAACCATTCCCAGGTATTTTTTTTATTTTCAGTAGAGACGAGGTCTCACTATGTTGTCCAGCCTGTATTTTCCCTCATTTTATAGATTTCATAGATGAGGAGACTGAAAGGTTCAATTTGCAAAAGTCACACAGCCAATGAGGGCAGGAGCAAGGATTTAAACCTAAGCAATGAGATTCCAAAGCCTCTGCTCTTATCTCTGCTCAGTGGATGATTCAAAGTCCAGTAAGGTCTGCCTCTGTGATGTCTCTTGCATGAGTCCCCTTCTTTCCTTCCACTGATTTATATCTACATTACATCTCAGACTTAGCTGATTGCAGTCAATTCCTAACTTGTAGTCTGACCTCTAGGCTTTCCCAGTCTAAGTGCAATCTTGTTCATGTTATTCACCTGTCCCATTGCCTATAAGTAGAGGTTTCTTGATTTGGCATTTGAAAGCCCCTGCAGAGAGACCCCGGCCTCTCAGTGTACTGTGTTAATTCGCTTTTCATATTCTGCCTTCTAACCAAAATAGACAACTTGCCATTCTCTGGATATTTTGATGCTGTCCCATGTCTGTATCTTTGCTCACATTGTTAACATACCCATTTCACCTTGTTAAAAGTCAGTCCTCTTACAAAGTTTGGCTTGGATGTCATACTTCGACTTCAGTACCCTTTGCAAAACAAGTATGATTGCCTTTCTCTGTTTTGTATATGATCCTTTATGTAATTGTCTTAGCCTAAGCCCCTAACCCCATTGTCTCTTCCTCAAGGTCAGGTCCTGTGTCTTACTCATTTTTAAATCTCAGCACCAAACATGGGGTATAATAGGTTCTCAAATCTTTGTTGATATAATGAAATTGAATTAGACAGGATTCTACAGGTTTACGGCAAATAATAAGAGACCACAAAAATAATTTTATATGATTGCAAATCAGAAGATTTTTCTGATACCTTTGAACCAGCAGGTATCTGTAATGTCAGCCTGGTTTCCATTTGTGACATATATGCACAATGTGGTACCAGTGGTGGCATTAAAATTCTACAACAGATGATCCATAATTAGAATTAGTTCAGACGATGCCTTAGCCAGGAAGCCCTCCTTAAGTGCTGAAGTCTGGTTTAGTCCCCTTCATTTATGCCCCCATGGCACACAGGCACTGTCCTTTCACATATTGTAATCATGTATATGTGTTTGCCACCAGACTGGGCCACTTGAGGCCTGAAGCCATGTTTTTTTCTTCCTTGTCTCCCCAGCAACTAGCAGTATCTAGCAAAATGTTAAATGTTGAAAGCTTGAATGAAGCACAGAATCCCACTAGACCCTAATGACTTTCATGATTAGAGAATAAAAGAGTCTTCTCTTTGTAATTATGATTCTTCATTTCTATTTTCTTTATAATTATTGTTAAGAGTCAGAATTTTTTACCTCGATTTGCAGCAATGGCCACTGACGAAGTTTCCAGGCCTCTACAGCAGTGGAGTCAAAGGTCATGAGATCTATCATCCTTGGTCAATAACTAGATCATTGTTATCTTGTTTTGCTAGAGTTCCATGATTTAACTTTCTGCTTTGGAAATAATAGAAAAAGGCCCATTTTTCCCACAAAGGACAGGTTACAAAAGTGTATGTTTTGTCTGACACACATGATATGTATTTTATTTTGTTTTTTGAGACAGAGTCTTTCTCTGTCACCCAGGCTGGAGTGCAGTGGTGCAATATTGGCTCACTGCAACCTCTGCCTCCCAGGTTCAAGCAATTCTCCTGCCTCAGCCTCCTGAGTAGCTGGGAGTACAGGGGTGTACCACCAAGCCTGTATAATTTTTATATTTTTAGTAGAGATGGGGTTTCACCACATTGGCCAGGCTGGTCTTAAACTTCTGACCTCAAGTGATCCCCCTGCCTTGGCCTCCCAAAGTGCTGGGATTATAGGCATGAGCCACCGTACCTGGCCATGCTCTGTGTTTTAAAATACTGTGCTAAGCTAGGCACAGTGGCACGTGCCTGTAATCTCAGTTACTTGGGAAGCTGGAGCAGGAAGATCGCTTGAGTCCAGGAGTTTGAGGCTGTAGTGCGCCATGATCACATCTGTATAGCTACTGCACATCAGCCTGCACAACATAGTGCGTCCTTATCTCTCTTTAAAAAAAAAAAAGGTGAACTGAGTATGTACAAGAGATTTTAAGAATTCTTATTTCTGACTACTCTTGGATAATACGGAAGTTCTAGCTGTGCTGGACCATGTCACAGTGTGCTGAGTTACAGCTGCCACCTTTAGACAAGAAGTGCTCACTCCAGTTTGCTCCAAAACTTACCTTATTTGGGTGTATATTTAATTAGCTATCCCTTTCTATACCTGTTTGATTAATCACCAATTTACATAATTATAGACATTCAAATAATGAGCCTTGTAAATATGGGTTTTGGCATTAAGCATATTTTTGTCACTACTATTAATAGATTTGGGTTTATATTTAATTAGCTAGTCCTTTTTTAAACCTATTTGATTAGTCACTGATTTATATAGCCATTCAAATAATGAGCTTTGTAAATGTGGGTTTCTATATTAAGCATATTTTTTGCCACTTCTCTTAATAGATTGATTTGTTTGGATATTAAATCCTTTAAGCTATTTTACCTTTTAAATAAACACAAGCTTTTGGAGGGCATGATTATACTGCTTTTCACATTAAGTTTTTTGGAAATGCTTAGCAAATACTTGTTAATTGACATTCTCCAGCTATTATAAATGTTCCTTTGTATATAATCCCTTGCCTTTAAAACTGAAATAAAACTTAGTAGCCAAAGAGGAACATGCTACCTGGGAGTTTCTCTGTAAGGATTTAAAAACGTTAACATTATTTCTGTTGCTGGTTTTTAGGCCTAAATAGACAAGATGAAAAGCAGTTACAAGAACTTGCACTGGAAGAAAGGCAAACCATTGATCAAAAAATCAACGTGTTGTACAGTGAGGTAGGTTTTTAGAGGGAGGCTAATTTCAGTACTGTTACATAAAGGAGTACTGTTTTTGTTAGACTCTGCTTTGGTGCTCAAGGTGCTCTCCAAACACTTTTAAGTGTTCTTTTGTGATACGGGATCAAGCTGGTCTTCTATAATTTACTGCAGAATTAGAATGAAGAAATTATGATATCAAATTAAAAAACAGAGACTCCCAGGGTAAAAAAAAAAAAAAAAAAAATTTCAGAGTTGAGTCTATTAACTTGTTAGGTAAGAGAATACATGCTGGTAAAGAAATTTAGTTCACCACAGGGAAGAGTCAGAGGGTTTTAAGTGTGAGAAGAGGAAGAGTTCATGGTGACTGTTAATTAAGGATTGGAAATCTGCACTCTGGATGGAATGGAATGAATCCAAAGGTGTAGAGATAGTTGGTTAACACACATCTTTAGTTAGGTCTAGCAGGGGTGTGACATACCGGAGCCTCTCAGGGTTCATGATACTGTATCAGCACCGGCTGATATCTCCTAGACATGGAAAGGGAAGATTTCCCTTCAATAGTGGTCTGTTTTCCTTCTTGCTCAATGGATGGTTTGTCTACAAAGACAATGAAGAACTCACTACTGTATACTGTGTCTCCCTCTGTCATATTTGCCATCCTCCTACCTTCAGTCTGTCTTGCTTTGGGAATCCAAGAGAGGGACTTTTTGAAAAGTTAAGGGGGAGGTTAGTGGGCTATCAGTTATTTTTATTACGAATTGAACCAGTTAAGCAAGGGCAGAAGATGTTTGACTCTTAGTCTGATATTATCTCCCACAGACTGTCATTTCTAGCAGAGATGGAGTATTTCAGAAATTGGCAGTAGGGAGAGTCATGACATGTGGGTACTTTTAGTTTGATTTGAAAAACCTTTTAGCAATAATGAAATTACTTCCCTTTTCTTCCTAAGAGGAAAGTTGCTGACTTTCTTTATTAGGAAGCCCCTTTTTTTTTCTGGTCACAGCTGAGAATCTCAATTTGAGCCTTATCTTGGGAGTCTTCGACATAGTCTTTAATTAGAGTGACTCTGCTGAGAAGGCACAGCATGGCATGGTGTCTGCCGTCAATTATGGCAGGAGATAATATGAAATCATTTCTCAAAGTGAATACTTTCAAAGCCTTGCTTCATTCATTAGATGAAAGAAGCTACTGTTCAGAACTAATTAGAAAAGCCAAAATCTGAAGAAAATTGAATGGAACACCCTGGACTTTGATCTGAACTTCTGCATTCTAGAAAATTAAGATAATCTGATAACAGTGTAGAAAACAGACTGACAAGTAACTCCATTGTTAACATGAATTGATCATCTATTTTAGGCCTAATTAGTTCTACTTATTATAACATTTTTGGAATACCCACATTGGGATACTATATGATTTTGCCAATTACTGAATTTTTTCAATGTTTTGGGGGCCTTTATTTAAATTCAAGTAATAATAGTATACCAGGGAAAATATACACACAAATGCTGATTTTTATTCCAGCTTTTCCAGAGCCTTGTGCCAAAGGAGAAATATGACAAAAATGATGTAATTTTAGAGGTGACATCTGGAAGAACTACTGGAGGTCAGTAAATTTATTATTTAAATGATCTAAAAAGTCCTTTAATTTTACATTTATTTGATAATACTGACTTTAAAAGTCCATTTAATGTATTTAAATTTGGAAATAGTGATTCTTTATTTCCTAAAGGACTTAGTCTTAAGGATGGGTTTCAGAAATTTGTTCTGACTAAATATTTTTTCTTTTTTTTTTTTGAGACGGAGTTTCGCTCTTGTTACCCAGGCTGGAGTGCAATGGCGCGATCTCGGCTCACCGCAACCTCCGCCTCCTGGGTTCAGGCAATTCTCCTGCCTCAGCCTCCTGAGTAGCTGGGATTACAGGCACGTGCCACCATGCCCAGCTAATTTTTTGTATTTTTTTAGTAGAGACGGGGTTTCACCATGTTGACCAGGATGGTCTCGATCTCTCGACCTTGTGATCCACCCGCCTCGGCCTCCCAAAGTGCTGGGATTACAAGCTTGAGCCACCGCGCCCGGCCTCTGACTAAATATTTTTTGTATTTTCTTTTAGGTGACATCTGCCAACAATTTACCCGCGAAATATTTGACATGTACCAGAATTATTCGTGCTATAAACACTGGCAATTTGAACTTCTGAATTATACACCAGCAGATTATGGTAGGCATATTGAGGATTTTGTCCATAGGAAATACTAAAAATTATTTTACCTCTGGTCTTGATTAGAGCCATATTGTCTCATTTTTTGAAACTTTTGGTGTGTATCTACTAAACACTGTGACATAGGCTTACTATTATATTAGAGTTGTTAGCTGGAAGAAGAGAGTGGGAAGGAAGGAAGCATTTGCCTAGGAAGAAATATGTGAATTAGAGAAAATTCCCCTGAGGAATTTAGATACCTGTCTTGCCTCAAAATCATTTTTCTCTGTTATTGAAAGCAAAGGTATATTCAGGTTTTTACTTTTAAGTAACTTTATTATTTATAAAATATAATAAGAAAGTATTACTAATTAGATTAAGTGGCTAATGTATTTGATTTTATGAGAATGCAGAAAAAGTTAATCATTTGTCTTTATTTTCAAGAAACTTCTATTTGGGCCAATAAAAATTTATACAACGGCTGGGCACGATTGCTCATGCCTCCCCACTTATGGGAGGCTGAGGTGGGTGGATCATCTGAAGTCAGGAGTTCAAGACCAGTCTGGCCAACATGGCGAAACCCTGTCTCTACTAAAAACATAAAAATTAACCAGGTGTGGTGGCACATACTTGTAGTCCCAACTACTCAGGAGGCTGAATCAGGAAAATCACTTGAACCCGGGAGGCAAAGCTTGTAGTGCGCCTAGATCACGCCCCTGCACTCCAGTCTGGGCAACAGTTTGAGACTGTCTCAAAAAAAAAATGTATAAAACATAGACATCTTTACCTTTAAATACTCAAGCATATTGATTCAAAACGTGATAATAATTCTTTCATTTTCCCTTTCTTTTAATCCACCTGAAAGTTTTCCTCTGCTTGGTTACACAGTGATACATCATAGTAGACAGAGGCGTCATCAGTAATAAACCACAAACTATCAAAGTCGGAAGAGAGGAATAATGTAAGTTGAGCAGTAGAGGGAAATGAGAACCAGCATACGGCATAAGGAAGTTGTACTTGGTACAGATTTCAGATACAACCCATGATCAGGAAAGGGGATTATCAGTGAGGGCAGAGGGCAGGAACAAGCTGAGCAGCAGCATGGTGGTGGGAGAGGTCTTGGTGTGTGGGGAGGCCAGTTTACCCATAGCTTTTCAGGGAAGTAATCTCTGAAGTAGGTTTGAATGGGTAGATTTTGAAAAGCTTTGATTGATGGGCCATAGGAAGCTGTTGAAAATTGTATTGATAAGAATATGATTTAATAAAATATGTATTTTAAGGAGATTATTTTGACAACAGTGTGATGGATGGAAAAGGCTAGATTTAGTACAAACTGCGAAGAGGTTATTAGATTAATCCAGATATGACTAAGAGTTAGAATTTGGAGGAGGATTGTATTTCAGAGACCTTCACAGGATGAATAGGCATAATTTGCTAAGTAAGTAGATGTGAGGGGGCTGTTGCTTATCCAGTATGTCTTGTGTGCACAACTTCACACCCTTGTGAGACAGGTATTACTAAGCTCATTTTACAGATGAGGATCTAGGCTCAGAGAGTAAGTAACTAATCCAAGATCACACAATAAGTAATGGCAATCATAGGATTAAATTTTAGTCTGTCTGATCCAGAGCTGCACTACATCCCATTAGTCTATTCTGACACAAAGGAGATGAGCCACAGGGATGCTAATCTTTCTAGCTGAGAAGACTGTGATACTCATTCATGCCATTAAATGGAATTGAAGTTGGAAAGCAGAAGTCATTTGGGAAGAATAATGAGGAATGGTTTTTGAATTACTAAGTTTGAGGTTATAGTGAGCATCCACTTAGAAATATTCAGTAAATAAGCCGGGTGCAATGGCTCATGCCTGTAATCCCAGCACTTTAGAAAACCAAGGCAAGTGGATCACCTGAGGTCAGGAGTTTGTGACCAGCCTGGCCAACGTGGTGAAACCGTCTCTACTAAAAATACAAAAATTATTTGGGCGTGGGGGCGCACATCTGTAATCCCAGCCAAATATTTTGGTATGTTTCCTATTGTTGCATCACTAGCTCCTATAATTAATTAATTAAATGTTAATAAGTTTCCTTTTATATTTTAATACATTTACATTGGGAAACTGTAGTTTTGTGCATACTTTATGTTTTCCCTTCTTCTTCAGAGGTCCTTGTTCTCCCATGCTTTATGTTCTCCAGGCTCTGTGCTCATATGTAGGCCTTAGATTAAGGTCATTTGGGATCCTGATCTGTTTCAAAGGAGAATTCATTAATATTTCTGGATTGTTGTCCCCCTAGGTGGACTACATCATGCAGCTGCCCGAATTTCTGGTGACAGCGTCTATAAGCATTTGAAGTATGAGGGTGGGATTCACCGAGTTCAGCGCATCCCTGAAGTGGGCCTGTCCTCAAGGATGCAGCGTATTCACACAGGAACGATGTCGGTTATTATCCTTCCTCAACCAGATGAGGTAACCTCAGCAGAGGCATGGGAAACTCACTCCATATCAACGGGTATTGTGCTGGGAAGCCTCAGCTTCCAGGAAAATCTGTTTTTTGTTTGTTTATTTGTTTGAGATGGAGTCTTGCTGTATAGCCCAGGCTGGAGTATAGTGGCACGATCTCGGCTCACTGCAACCTCCACCTCCCTGGTTCAAGCAATTCTCCTGCCTCAGCCTCCTGAGTAGCTGGGATTATAGGCGCACACCACAATGCCTGGCTAATTTTTTTTGTATTTTTAGTAGAGACAGAGTATCACTATGTTGGCCAGACTGGTCTCGAACTCCTGACCTCAGGCAATCTACCCACCTCAGCCTCCCAAAGTGCTGAGATTACAGGTGTGAGCCATCCCACCCGGCCGAAAATCTGTTCTTTTCATGGCTGGATTGGACTTTATAGTCTCTAATGGGAAATCTTTAACTCTCCCCCAGGCAAAGTTGCCCCTCTTATCTTGATCAAGCTGTTTTGTTTGCTTTTAAATAGAAGTCACTTCTTTTCAAAAAATGCTCATTTAATGTTGTTGCCTATGTTTTATCTTAAGAAAAAAAATGAATTCCACAGATAATATTTCAAGGTCAATGGTATAATATCAGTATGGGGACCATAAATCTTTTTAGTTGAATACAACCATCTGCTCTGTATTTTTCTTTTCCCTTTTTTTTTTAAACATACAGAAAATTGAAAGAATATCACAATGCAAATTCTATAAGCTTCACTTGAGGTTGGTTGTTTACATTTTCTCACATTTGCTTGATTCCCGTATATATGTGTGTATATATCTCTTTAAATGAACTATAAAGGATACAGCAGACACCATGAGACTTTACCTTCCAAATCTCTCACATACATCTCCTGAGGCACTCTCTGATATAAGCACATTACCATTACCTATGAAAACTAACCATAATTGTGTAATATTATCTAATCTCTAGTACATTTAAGAGTTTCCCTAATCAGCCCAAAAGTATTTTTATAGCTATTTATTTACCTATTTTTGGAGGCAGGGTCTTGCTATGTTACTCAGGCTGAACTTAAACTCCTGGCTCAAGGTGATCCTACTGCCTTAACCTCCTGAGTAGCTAGGACTACAGGCATGCCACTGTACCTGGGCATTGTGATTTTTTTTTTTTAACCAAGATCCTGTCAAGTTTCACACATTGCAATTAGTTGCTATATTTCTTTAAGTTTGGAACAGTCTCCTAACTTTTTTTTTTTTTTTAATTACATTGACTTTTTGAAAAGTCTAGACTACTGGTCTTGAAGAATGTCCCACATTTTGGATTCCTCTGATGGTTCTTCATGGTACTCTTTAACTTGTTCCTTTATCCTCTGTATGTTGAAAGTTATATCTACATGTTCCATTCCATGCAGGTTACACATTTTGAGTGAGAATACTTTATAGGTGCAGTTATAGTCATGTTGCATCTTATCAGGAGGCATATAATGCTAGCTTGTCCCACTTTTAGTGTGCCTTAGTTTTAGTAGTTACTGAACATGTGACCACAGAAATATTTCCATTGTAAAAGTATATTTCTCCCTTTGCAATTACTAAGTAATTTCTAGGGTACATATATCCTGTTCCCAATTACCTTTCATCCATGGTTTTAACATCCATTGGTGATCCTTGCCTGAATCAGTTCTTTACTTTGGGGTTGCAAGATGGTGATTTTCTAATTCTGTCATTCCTTCCACGTTTACAAACTGGCATTCTTCTGTGGAGAACTTTCCTCCCTACTACCTTCTCACCTCCTAGCCCACACTTTCTTGTGTTCTTTCTCTAGTATATGATTTCATTATACTTATATCAAGTTTCACCTATTAACCTCATTATAGACTCATGGATTGATGTTTTAATTCACTTATTTATAGTTCCTAGTCTTCTTTATGTTCAAATAGTCCCAGATTTGGTCTATAGTAGCCTTTTTAGGGCATCCCTTTTGTCCTTTTGAAATGATACCATCGTTCTTTGAGTGCATCTGTGCTTTCTGATATAGTTAGATACCCAGGCCCATCTTGTACTATCCTGCCTCAGACTTAGAATCAGCCTGGTTCATTTTAGAGGGGAGTGTATCCAGAAATCAAGATCTAGATAGTAGGTATGTTTATTATTGTTAGTGCTGTTACTTTTAGACTCTTTGAGTGGATATAGCCAGGAAATACATGTTTTGAAATCATAGCTTCATATTGTTACTACCAATTCAAATTTAACATTTCAGAAATTTTTTTCACCTCTCAACTTACTGCATTTTATATTTACATCTCTCCAATATAAAACTTATTTTCTAATCACTTTAATATGTTTACTTGGTTTATTATATACTATATATAAAATAGTTCCAAAATTATAATATTAACATTACTAATAAACTACTGAGTAATGTTTACGATTTTTGTCTTTAGAATATATTCTACCAAGAATGCATAGTCAGGCTGGGTGCAGTAGCTCATGCCTGTAATCCTAGCACTTTGGGATGCCGAGGCAGACAGGATCATTTGAGGTCAGGAGTTCGAGACCAGCCTGGCCAACACAATGAAACCCTGTCTCTACTAAAAATACAAAAAATTAGCCAAGGGTGGTGCCACATGCCTGTAGTCCCCCCTACTTGGGAGGCTGAGGCAGGAGAATTGCTTAAGCCCGGGAGGCAGAGGTTGCAGTGAGCCGAGATCACACCATTGCACTCCAGCCTGGTAACAGAGTAGATTCTGTTTCAAAAAAAGGAATGCATAGTCAGAGCACTATGCTCAAAGACCATCTGAAATAATCTTTTTCTGTATAGTTACGTTATCATTATGATAACTATTTTGGTTCATTTATTTCTGTTTTTATCTCATTTTAGGATTTGATTTTTCTTTTCTCTCTCCCCTCTTTTTTTTTTTAAGATGGAGTCATGCTCTGTTGCCCAGGTTGGAATGCAGTGGTGGGATCTCGGCTCACTGCAGCCTCCACCTCCTGGGTTCAAGTGATTCTCCTGCCTCAGCCTCCTGAGTAGCTGGGATTGCAGATGTGTGCCACCATGCCCAGCTTATTTTTGAATTTTTAGTAGAGATGGGGTTTCACCATGTTTCACCATGTCACTGGCCCACGCCTGTAATTCCAGCACTTTGGGAGGCTGAGGCAGGCAGATCACTTGAGCTCAGGAGTTCAAGACTGGCCTAAGCAACATGGCAAAACCTCCTTTCTATAAAAAATACAAAAATTAGTTGGGCATTGTGGCACACAGCTATAGTCTCAGCTACTCAAAAGGCTGAGGTGGGAAAACTGCTTGAGCCTAGGAGGCAGAGATTGCAGTGAGCCGAGATCAGGCCACTGCACTCTAGCCTGGGTGACAGAGTAAGACTCCGTCTCCAAAAAAAAAAAAAAAAAGGAAACAAAAACAGGGTAAGTGGGAGGAGCGGGGTAGAAGAAATAAGGTTGGAAGCAAGATAACCCCATGGTTTTGACTTTTGAGCCATGTGAATATTTACATATGAAAATAAAATTAAGTAAAAGAGAAAAGAAAGGCTGAGCATGATATGGCTCACGCCCATAATCCCAGCAATTTGGTAGGCTGGGTGGGTGGATCATGAGGTCAGGAGTTCAAGACCAGCCTGACCAAAATGGTGAAACTCTACTAAAAATGGTGTATCTCTACTAAAGATACAAACAATTATCTGGGCGTGGTGGCAGATGCCTGAAATCCCAGCTACTCAGGAGGCTGTGGCAAGAGAATCGCTTGAAATCAGGAGGTAGAGCTTGTAGTGAGCCGACATCGCATCCCTGCACTCCAGCCTGGGCGACAGGGTGAGACTCCATCTCAAAAAACAAAACAAAATAAAATAAAATAAAATAAAATACTTCATCTGCCCTAAGTCACATCTGTACCCAGAGTTCCCCGAAAGTCATTAGATCATTTCTGTAACATTTGGCAGAATTATCAAGTATGATATCCACACATTTTCTACGTAACTACTTAATATACTGTAGCTACATAAAATGGTAGGTTACTCTTACCTCTTCAGTATTTATTTAAGTCTTAAGGTAGCCGACTCATATATTTTAACAAAAGCCATATAATCTTTTTCTTCACTATGTAGCAGTCATTTGAGAGGAAACATACAAAAAAAAAACCAGTCAGCTAAACAGTATGGTAGATTCCAACCTTGACCCTGTCACTACTTTTCAAAGAGAAAAGTCACACTTGCTTTCTGTCATTCATACTAATCAATGATGAATGTGGAATAAAATGTTAGCTCTCCCCATAAAAATAGCATATTTGTTGTAGGCTGGGCACAGGGGTCCATGCCTGTCATCCCAGTACTTTGGGAGGCCGAGGTGGGTGGATCACTTGAGGTCAGGAGTTCCAGACCAGCCTGGCTAACAAAGTGAAACTCCATCTTTACTAAAAATACAAAAATTAGCTGGGCGTGGTGGCATAGGCCTGTAATCCCACCTACTCGGGAGGCTGAGGCAGGAGAATTGCTTGAACATGGGAGGCAGAGGTTACGGTGAATTCTGAGATCATGCCACTGCATTCCAGCCTGGGCAACAAAGCAAGACTCTGTCTCAAAAAAAAAAAAAAGCATATTTGTTAACTATGTGTGTGTGTGTGTGTGTGTGTGTGTGTGTGTGTGTGTAATATATGTAAGTTTCCACAGGCTGCTGTAACAAATTACCGCAAACTTAGTGGCTTTATATAGCAGTAACTTATTCTTTCACTGTTCTAGCAGCCAGAAGTCTAAAATCAAGGTGTCAGCAGGGTTGTGCCTCTCTGAAGGCTGTGGGGAGAATCCTCCCTTGTATCTTCCAGCTTCTGGTTGCTCCAGGTACTGCTCGGCTTGAAACTATACCACTCTCCAAATTCACGTCGTCTTCTTTACTGTCTTCTCTAATTAGTTTCTTATAAGAACACTTGTCATTGGATTTAGGGCCTATTCTGATAATCCAGGACAATCCCATCTTAATTACATATGCAAAGACCCTTTTTCCAAATACGGTTCCATGAGTTAGAACATGAATATATCTTTTTGGGAGCCACCTTTCAATCCACTAATAAACATACACATACATGAATAAAGTTGATTTTCATTATTCCTAATAGTTATGTTCTGTAAAGTTACAGCAAACACTGATTTATAGATAGTGAACCACTTGGGAGTAATGGTTCAGTATTTGCTAAATCAGTGTTAGGAACAGCTGGGTGTGGTGGCACACGCCTGTTGTCCAAGCTACTCAGGAGGTTGAAGCAGGAAAACTGCTTAAGCCCAGGAGTTCAAGGTAGCAGTGAGCTATGATTGTACCATTGCACTCCAGCTTGGGCAACAGTGAGACCCTGTCTCAAAAAAAAAAAAAAAAAAAAAAAAAAAAAAAAATTAGCTAAGTCCATACACACATGCACATACACACAAACACATACTGAGCTCATTATTATAATCTTATATTCTAAAAATAACCCATCCTGGTAGATTCTCTCAACTTTACAATAGAGAAAACAAGGCTCATGAGTGTCAAGTGACTTGCCTGGTGCAGCTCCACTAACAGGTGCTAGAGTTCAGATTCAAACCCGGTCCAACTGGCCCCAGAGCCAGAGCACTGCTCTGCTCTGCCCCATACACCTCCGTTCTCTGGTCGTCTCTGTGGGAAAGCTGCAATAAGAAGGCAGAGTGTCACCTTGTCCTACTTCAGCTGGTAGTAGGCAAGTGTGAAGCAGTTCATATTTTTCACTGCTCTATGCCTGTCTGCAAATGACTGTGGATGTGCTTTGGGTATTGATTTGAGAATACAAACAAATTTTAGTGAGTAGGCAAATTTGCAAATAGACATTCTGACAATAGTGAGAATCAATATATAGTGTGTATTTTATATATTTTTGGTTTTTTTTTTCTTTTTTCTTTTTTTTTAATATGGGGTTTCACCATGTTGGTCGGGCCAGTCTTGAACTCCCGACCTCAGTTGATCCGCCCGCCTTGGCCTCCAAAGTGCTTGGATTACAGACGTGAGCCACCACACCCAGCTGGGTTTTTTTTTTTTTTTAACATTTACTTTCGGATGATGAATAATGAAGCTTTTGAAAGACTGCAAACTCAGTGATCTCATAACATCCTAAATCAGTGCTTAAAAATGGCATCCCAGGGCCAGGCAGGGTGGCTTCTATCTGTAATCTCAGCATTCAGGAAGTCCAAGGTGGGAGAATCACTTGAGACTAGGAGTTCAGGACCAGCGTGGGAAACATAGCAAGACCCCATCAGTACAAGAAATTTTTAAAATTAACCTGGCATGGTGGTTTGCACCTATAGTCCTAGCTACTCAGAAGGCTGAGATAGGAGGATCACTTGAGCCCAGGAGTTTGAGGTTACGGTGAGCTATGATTGTGCTACTACACTCCAGCCTAGGCAACAGAGGGAGACCCTGTCTCAAACAAACAAAATAGCATCCTATTGGAATGGGGAGTTTATTGCCCTATAGTTGTTATTAGTTGCTTCTCTTAGTCTAACAGCTATGACTTATCTTAAAACAGTACAGTTTGTTCAAAAAATCTCAGAATCAATTTTGTATTAAGGAATTCCTGGAGTGCAGAATTATGCCATGCCTTCTATTCTAGGTAGATGTGAAATTGGACCCCAAGGATTTGCGAATAGATACATTTCGAGCCAGAGGAGCAGGAGGGCAGCATGTTAATACAACTGATAGTGCCGTCAGACTTGTCCACATCCCCACAGGTGAGCAAGTTCTTTGGCTTTGTACTTTTAACCATTTTTCCTATCTTACTCAGCATTTGGAAGGAAATCGTCCTATGTGAGTATCTGGTTCCCTGCACAGCTCTTTAAAAATGTCACTGGAGTTGTGGATCAGAATGTCTATTGTGTTCACATTCCCCTTCTGTTTGGAAAGATTTCCTTTCTGAAAAGATGCAGACGGTGAGCAGACCTATTCAGGGAAGCTCGCAGGTATGCTGGACAGGAGTGAGCAACCAGAGGTGCCTCTGCCTGAATACAAATGAAACACAGAAGTAGCCTTGGATGGGCCACTGCCGTGGATCTTCTGCCACCTGTAGCTTGATGGCTAACTCCATTAGGCTTTGCTGCACTAATGCTTTTATTTTGAATATTGGTAATTCTGGCATACTCAGGTAGTTTTGTGGTTTGTAATGTGATTTTAAATATTCCTACCGTTTTTCAGATTAAACACTTTTTTAACTTCTGAATTTTTCTTTTTAAAATTAATTTTTACATTTCATGTATATTATTTTAAAAGTCTAATGGCAAAATCCAATAACAAAAAAATGAGCAGCCCTCTAGACTTGTTCCCACCTTCCTCCTACTTCCTCTACCCTCAATTCCCATTTCCTAGAGATAACCACTTTAAATTCTTATAGCTCACTTCTCCAGCTACAAAAAAAACAAACAAACCTCTTTTAGTTATTTCTCCTGGTAATTGCCTCAGTATTTCTAAATAATAGGCAAATAGTGCTCTTCTGACCAACTATAAAGATTACATATTTACGTCTTAATGTGGTAGATGAGAATTTTACCCCTCTTATATCCCCTTTCCTCTTTCAAATATTTATCTTTTGGCAAAATTAATCTTCACTGTTTTCATATAATGAACAGATAGTGTTTGATGCTTGAGCCCATTAGTATACAGTCCTGTGATTTCATTTCCTAGAGTTAATAATTACCTCACTGATTTTCCATTTTCTTTGACTCTTGAGTGTGCCTACCTCTTCCAAAAGCTGTGTAAAATCAAGTCACTCCGGTGCTTTCTGGAGACTCTCTGACAGAGCCCTCTATCATCTTGCTGCAGTGTAGACCAGCTGCTCTCCGGGGCACTGGACAGGGGTTGTCCTGGTCACCAGCAGTTGGGAAGTTCCCTTCATCTCTGTTCTGTGTTGGATCCTCCCGTTTCTTGGGTTCAGTATCATCTTTTCTCTTTGTTACGCTGTCATTTTAACAAAGCTCATCTTTAAGTGGCTTCCTGAGAAAAGATTTGTGACATGTAAATATTACAAGGCTTTGTAGATCTGAAAACAGCATTTCCCCTCCCCACCAGAAACTACTTCAAGGAAAAAAATAGCTTAACTCTAACTTCACACTTCATTGATCATTTGTTGGAAATCATTTCCCCTTAGAATAGTGAAAATCCTTTTCATTTCTCATATTTGTTGCTTTCGGTTTAGAGACTCATGCCTTTCAGCTCTGAAATACTTTCCTAGTAATTTCTTACATAATATTTTCTTTGTTCTTCCTTGGATTTCTATTAGTTAGATGTTAGACCTCTGAATTTATCATTTTTTTTTTCTCATGCTGTCTGTCACTTTGTTTTTTAGTTCTTTCTCCTACCCTTTTTCTGATTTAAAAAAAAATTATTTTTTTTTAACTTTGAGTGCCCTTTCTTGTTCTCAAACGAATTTTTTCATAGCATTTTTTCTTATTTTTTGATACTGATTTCTCTTTTTTATTGCTCAAGGATATTAATTTTCATTTCCCTGAAGTGCTCTTCTGCTTTCTGCAGTGTCTCTGTTTCCTCTGAGTTTATTTTTGTTTCATTCTTACTTTTCTTCTTTTTTCTTTTTGAGACAAGATCTCAGTCTGTTGCCCAGGCTGGAGTACAGTGGTGTGATCACAGCTCACTGCAGCTGTGACTTTCCCAGGCTCAGGTGATCCTCCTACCTCAGCACCACTCCCCGCCCCGCTTCCTATTAGCTGGAACTATAGGCGCTTGCCACTACGCCTAGCTAATTTTTGGATTTTTTTCTTGGTAGGTACCAAGTTTCTCCACATTGCCCAAGCTGGTCTCCAGTTCCTGGGCTCAAGCGATCTGCCTGCCTCAGCATCTCAAATGTTGGGATTACAGACATGAGCCACTGCACTCAGCCCATTCTTACTTTCATGCTAGAAATGTCTAGGAATTCTTGGCTGTCTATACATATTTAAGAGTCAGGTTCTAAAAGCTTGGAGTGTACTTAACCACATACCCACTACTGAGTTCCACTGTAGGGTAGTTAGAGGATTAATCAGCTTTTTATTAGGATCCCCCAGATGTCTATGTCTGTAGATCTTTTCTCTTGTGAGTTTGTTTTCTCCTGAGAAGGATCTTCCAGGATACAGCTGAGAGTAAGGTCAAGATCTCACCATTCAATAGTAGCCTTTTACTTAATCCTCTTGTCTTCAGGCCCATGCTCCACACTTGCCCTCCCTTATACCTAGTCCCAAGTCTAGAACTTTCCTGATTTAATTATCCAGAAATATACCTCCTGCCTTCTGCAGATTGAGGGAGGAGACTTGAGGATCTATTTGTTATTACAGACTTTCTGTATTTAGCCCCAGCTTCTCAAGCCTGACTTCTAAATACCTGGTGTCTCTATTTCTGAGCCTTTCTGGCACTTAGCAGGGCAAATTGGCCAGTTTCTGGTCAGCATCTCCCTCTACAGGGAAGTAAGTCTCATATTCCTTACATCTGCTAAGTCATTTACCATTCTTCCATCCACTTTCTGTCTTTATAGATGATGTTTGGGCATATATACATGACCTAGTTTTATTTCAGATGGAGTTTGTGTTACTGTTCCTTGTTCTTGTTGTAGTATGATTTTAAAAAGGTGGGGGCAGCCACAGTGGCTCACACCTGTAATCCTAGCACTTTGGGAGGTCAAGGCAGGCGGATCCCCTGAGGTTAGGACTTTGAGATTAGCCTGGCCAAAATGGTGAAACCCACCTCTACTAAAAATACAAAAAAATTAGCCAGGTGTTGTGGTGCATGCCTGTAGTCCCAACTACTCAGGAGGCTGAGGCAGGAGCATCACTTGAACTCAGGAGGCGGAGTTGCACTCCAGCCTGGGCAAAAAGAGTGAAACTCCTCAAAAAAAAAGAAAAGAAACCATCTTGAAGTCAGACATCATTTTTAAATTTTAAATTCATTTTCAGCTTATTATGATTGCTTATGTTGTGTATTATATGAAAAGCTGAAACAACCTAAATATCCAAAAAGAAGATAATTTCATGTTTTCTCTTAAGTTTTCTTTGATTTTTATTCCATTGGAAACTGTAAAAAAAAAAAAAAAAAGAATATATGCATGAGCAAAACAAAATAAAACATCCATAATAATAACCCAGAACCATTGTTGGCATGTATCTTTGGTATACATCCTTTCAAATTCTTTTCTATACATATAAAAATACGTCATTTTTTTCCCTCAAAATTAGGTTATGCTTTTTTTTTTCTTAGATGGAGTCTAGCTCTGTCACCCAGGCTGGCGTGCAGTGGTGCACCCTCTGCCTTCCGTGTTCAAGCGATTCTGCATCAGCCTCACAAGCAGCTGGGACTACAGGCATGTGCTACCATAGCCAGCTAATTTTTGTCTTTTTAGTGGAGACTGGGTTTTACCGTGTTGGCCAGGCTGGTCTCAAACTTCTGACCTTAAGTGATACACCCACCTCAGCCTCCCATAGTGCTGGAATTATAGGCATGAGCCACCGTGCCCAACCTGAGGTTACGCTTTTTGTAACTTGCCATAGTTTACTTCAATAATCCTTAAATTGTTGGATACTTAATGTGTTTCACCTAAACCCTGTACTGTTGGATATCATTCTATATTATATGCAGTCCAGAACATTAATACGTGGCTTAAGATGAATTAAAAATTAAAATGAGTAAAAAATAGGTTAAAAGGTACTCAAAATTCTGACAAAATAAACCAGAATGCTCTAAAACATATTAAAGGGTTGTAAAACCACCCTGTGTAGCCATAAATTGCTGACTTTACAAAAAGTGGCTTACAGAGAGTAGAACTATGGTTATTAGAGGCTAGGAAGGGCAAGGGGGAGGGGAGGATAGAGATAGGTTGGGTACAGGATACAGAATTACAGCTGGATAGGAAGCATTCGTTCTGGTGTTCTGCAGCACTATAGCACCAATATGGTTAATTGTAGGGAGTCCTTGAGCCCCACACATTGGGTGCCAGAACATAGGGATCCATGAGCCGCATGTTGGGCACCAGAATGTAGGGAACCAGCCCTACATCACCCATGGGTACCCTGAGTTCGGTGGCAACAGAGGAATGAGAAAAAGATTAAGAGAGGCAGTGGGACCAGGGGGCCATCACTTATTACTGGAGGCAGTGAAGGCCCTGAGCTCTGATCATCCACGCTGTTTACTGATTACTGACAACAGGTCAGCTGACAAGAAGAGGAATGTGGAGGAAAGTTGATGAAAGCCCAGCCATCTTAAAATGGAAATGTTCATATTCTTTTGGGTAGTACAAAAAGGATACAAGATTCAAGGAAACTCCAGAAAAATACCTGCAAGATAGGGGCCAGTCAGTGCCCCCAGCCCAGCCAGATGGCTGCAGGAAAATAGTCAAGAAGTGAGTTTAAACTAGCAGAGGTGAAACCTCAGTGCCCTACTAAAAGTATTAGCAGGTAGAGACTATAGCTTATTTAGACAGGGAGAAAACATAGTTCAGAGAATAGAATGTTACAGAAATTTCTTTAAATCTCCAGCAAAATATTTACCACTGTATTGGTGCAGATTGGCTATATTAATGGGGTTTTTGGTTTTTAGTTTTTGTGATGCAATCCCTTTCTCCTCTAATTTACTGAGGAGCGGGATTAGACACGGACCTTCTGAGTGATAGCTGCAAAGTTAAGAACAACACAGCCTCAAGAAGTGATCAGTTTAGAGCTGGATTTGGGCCAGGAACTGGACTACACAGTGGGCCAAACCCATCCAAATGCAGAAGCTGGCCAGCCAAATCTTGTGTGTGGTTAGATGTGTTGATTAGCTGCACCCCTGCTTACTTAGACTATGCAGAACAACTTAGATATTTAGAACTCAGACAACTCAGAAACATCCCCTGTAAACTCTTCTTTTTAAAAGCTCTGAGTAGCATCCTTCCATTGGCTTCTTTCTCTAAAGGTATTTTTAAAACCTCAGCTCTGATATATTTGTGATTGAAAGGGGAAAAGGCGAGTTCTTCTTGAATTGGACAGAGAATAGAGCAGTGCAACGTAGGGAGTAGCACTAATTTGCTGTTTGTTGAGCTGCAGAAATGCTTGGATGAGCTAGGAGGAAGAGGCCAGGCTCGGGGACTGAAAGACAGGTAACCATCTGCAGATGCTGCCACTTTCTGGGTGCTCATACGGAGCATCTCATTTACACATCAGAATCCAAAGAGCCAGCTACAGCTATCATCATGACCCAGCTAGTTTCTGAAGTGTGCTAAACCTAAAATGTTTTTATCTTTTGTGATCTTTTCCTGATTAACCTGTTAGATTTAAACTGTTCCTTAGTTCTATCTTAATTTGGTCTGTGGAACCTACAGTTTACCTTCTGATCCCTGTTATTTTTCAGGACTAGTAGTAGAATGCCAACAAGAAAGATCACAGATAAGAAATAAACAAATAGCTTTGAGTGTGCTGAGAGCTAGACTCTACCAGCAGATCATCGAGAAAAACAAGCGTCAGCAACACAGCACTAGAAAACTGCAGGTAAGATGTACTTGGTGTAATAATTTAATGACTATTTTTTCAAAAAGTCATCATTTTCTTTAGAGAATGCAGTATTTGTTCTTGCTTAAATGGGAACATTTTGGAGCATAGAGAAATGTGCTCCTTCGTCAGTAAGCAGTAACTCAATGCAAATGGACTGATGGATTATGACTAAACCTGGGCATACCAGTTTGCAGATTAGAAAATGTAAGATGTCGAAAATTATTTCCTAGCTGTTTCCCTCTTGATGTTTGTATCATTACTGTCTTAAGAGGAAAATGGTTTAAAAGACACAATAATTATTTGAGAGTTAAGAACATTTTAAATTTTTAAAATTAAAAACCATGCTCGTATTGTAATTATGTGAGATCAAATACAAATGATACTGCAAAAAACTGGGAACAGTGATTGCTACTGAAGGAAATTAAGGACAAGGGGTAGAAAGGACATTTATGTTTCTTTATATATCATTTGGTACTTTTTGAATTTTGTACAAGATACATGATATAGTGTTACTTATTCAAATAGATAAATAGATGAATTCTAAGCAAACTGAATAAATGTCATTATTTTAAGTAAACAAAATATATAATTTACTTTTTTTAAAAAAAGAAAAACAAAACAGAGTCTCATTCTGTCACCAGGCTGGAGTGCAGTGGCACTTTCCCTGCTCACTGCAATCTCCGCCTCCCAAGTTCAAGCGATTCTCCTGCCTCAGCCTCCTGAGTAGCTGGGACTACAGACGTGACCCATCATGCCCAGCTAATTTTTGTATTTTCAGTAGAGACAAGGTTTCACCATGTTGGCCAGGATGGTCTCGATCTCTTGACCTTGTGATCTGCCCACCTCTGCCTCCCAAAATGCTGGGATTACAGGCGTGAGTCACCGCTCCTGGCCAAATTCTTTTTTTTTTTTTTTTTTTAAGATGGAGTCTCATTCGGTCACTCAGGCTATAGTGCAGTGGCATGATCTTGGCTCACTGCAGCCTCTGCCTCCCAGGTTCAAGCAATTCTTCTGCCTCAGCCTCACAAGTAGCTGGGACTACAGGCACTTGCCATCACACCAGGCTAACTTTTTTTTTTGAGATGAAGTCTCACTTTGTCACCCAGGCTGGTGTGCAGTGGCACAATCTCAGCTCACTGCAACCTCTGCCTCCTGGGTTCAAGCGATTCTTGTGCCTCAGCCTCCCAAGTAGCTGGGATTACAGGTGTGTGCCACCACACCTGGCTATGCTACAGTAATTTAAAGTTGGAAGATTTTGTGGCCTTTTAGGATAATGAATTATTTAAACCTAAGCATTACGTATACTTTTCATCTAGATGTGTCCTAGCTTTTTCACACTTTTGTGTTTCTAGCCTTCTTTACCTATGTGCTAACTTGCAGGTAGTAAAAGTGACAGGATAGATAATATTAACACTATTAGTGGTAATCCCAGATTATAGGGCATCATCAGTGTATTCACTTGCAGATAGGAATGCTCATTTATAAACCAAAACTTATTTTTGTTTTTAACAAGCAAACAGTATACCCTGAGTACACATCATTACTTCATGGCAAATAAGTGATAACATAAATACTATGAACTCTGCCACATTTGAATTTTAAAAAGACATTTGGATTTATTTGCTTTTTAACATTTTGGCCCTAGAGGTTCCACAAAGTAATAATTTTATTTTTATTTTTTGAGACAGATTCTTGCTCTGTCACCCAGGCTAGAGTAGGTTGGCATGATCTTGGCTCACTGCAGTCTCTGCCTCCCGGGTTCAAGTGATTCTTGTGCCTCAGCCTCCTGAGTGGCTGGGATTACAGACATGTACCCCCATGCCTGGCTCATTTTTGTATTTTCAGTAGAGATGGGATTTTGCCATGTTGGCCAGGCTGGCGTCGAATTCCTGGCCTCATGTGATCTGCTTACCTCAAACTCCTAAAGTGCTGGGATTTACAGGCATTAGCCACTGCACCCAGCCCACAAAGTAATTTTTAAAATAGGTATTCAGGATTGGCTTTATGCAAATTGTTCATGTGTGTCTTCTTTGGTAGTCTGATTGACCAGCCAAAAAGACATCACTGCCTGCCGAATAACTTATCCACCTACCTGAAATTTTAATAGGGATTTGTAAGGCTTAGAAGTTTTTTTGTTTTGTTTTGTTTTTTCTTTTTTTTTTTTTTTTGAGACGGAGTTTCGCTCTTGTTACCCAGGCTGGAGTCCAATGGCGCAATCTTGGCTCACTGCAACCTCCGCCTCCTGGGTTCAGGCAATTCTTCTGCCTCAGCCTCCTGAGTAGCTGGGATTACAGGCATGCGCCACCATGCCCAGCTAATTTTTTTGTATTTTTAGTAGAGACGGGGTTTCACCATGTTGACCAGGATGGTCTCGATCTCTTGACCTCGTGATCCACCCGCCTCAGCCTCCCAAAGTGCTGGGATTACAGGCTTGAGCCACCGCGCCCAGCAGAAGTTTTTTCTTCAACCAATAGTTACACTTGGCTTTTATACAGAAGGCATTATGCCAGATTCTCAACCCTGGCTCCACTGATCACCTAATGAGTTTTTGCAGATGCCCAGGCCCCACCCCAGAAATTCTGATGTAACTGATCTGGAGTGAGGTCTTGGCCATGAATATGATGGTTTGGGATAGTGGTTTCCAAGCCTGACTGATTGTCAGAAGAGATGATCTGGGATTTTCAAAATACATAATTCTAATCTATTATATCTGAGGTTGGGCTTAGAAATCCATAATTTTAAAAAATTCTTCTAGTGGTCAGGAGTTTAGTTTCATATCACTTGCCTTAGGGTTTAAGATGGTAAGTTACAGAAATGTCTTTTTTTTCGAGATGGAGTCTTGCTCTGTCTCCCAGGCTGGAGTGCAGTGGCATGATATTGGCTCACGGCAACCTCCACCTCCCAGGTTCAAGCAATTCTCCTGCCTCAGCCTCCCAAGTAGCTGGGACTACAGGTGCATGCCACCACGCCTGGCTAATTTTTTGTATTTTGAGTAGAGACGAGGTTTCACTGTGTTAGCCAGCATGGTCTCTATCTACTGACCTCATAATCTGCACTCCTCAGCCTCCCAAAGTGCTGGGATGACAGGTGTGAGCAACCAGCAGACATGTCTTCTTTTATTTTAATAAATGAAAGCAATTGAGGCAGAGTGTTGGGTATATCAGGGATTAGGGAGGTGGAGGAGATGAGCAGACTAAGAAGAATGCGAATAACTGTAGCATGATACAAACTGTGGTGCACCATGAAGAAGATTCTAAGTTCAACAGGTTTCAGAGGAAGAAGAAAACATATTTCAATTGCTGGGTCCAGAAAGGCAGAGATGGTAGGAGAGTGTTAGGGAAGGGCATCTCTTGAGATGATGTTTTATAGCAGAGATAACAGACACACGCATGATATAGTCTTACTAATGGCATTATAGAGATTTCACATAATTTTCAGAAATAACATTTGGAAGATTTGCCACATTACAAAGTACCTTGAATGCTGAGTTGAGTTGTGTCTGCTCAGTAGACAAGAAGGAACCAAAGAAAATTCATCAGAAAACTATACTGTAGGAAGACTAAGTAAGTAGGGCAGCACAATGTGAGCAGAAAACTGGGAGATTAATCAAGAGGTTTTTGCAAAATTGCAGGTGAAAGTAATGAGTCCATGAGTGATAGTAGAAATGGAAAGGGCAGGATATAATAAGAGACCCATGAAACCAATTGGAAATGGGCAGTTAGAGAATAGGATGAATTGAAGATGGTTTCTCCCCCTGCATGCATCTGTATCAAAGCCTGGCATAGTAAACTCAAACCCACAAAATGTTTGACAAATTGCAGAATGTCAGAATTTTCTACTTGGATAAAAGGGAATACACGGTGCTGTCATTTGTGGAAACCAGGAGGAAGAACTTATTGGAGTGGAAAGATGATTAATGTGATTTTAAATATTTGGAATTTGAAATAGCAAAGAAACATTCCTTCTTATTCTATAACTGAGCTCTACAAGCCTGTAGTATTAAACGTTAAGTTCTGCCCATTCTTATTCTTTGCCATTTTGTATCTATGACTTTTAGAACATATCTAAATGGTTGAAATAGTCATTTACCAAGTGCGTTTTCCATTGTAATGAAGATATTTATAAAGGTAAAATGTAAATTGCTTTTTGTTACGGCACAGGTGGGAACAAGAGCCCAGTCAGAGCGAATTCGGACATATAATTTCACCCAGGATAGAGTCACTGACCACAGGATAGCGTATGAAGTTCGTGATATTAAGGTAATATTTGTGTACCTTTGATTTCAGAAGAAGATTAGTCGAAGTCTAGAACCTATATGTAGATATTACCAAGTATATCTAAAATGTTACAAAGTAATTTAAATCATCAAGCCACTCTAAAATTTACAAACATTTTTATTAGTTTGCTGGTTAAAAAATTAATGATCTTAATGCCATTTTGAAACAATGATCTTTTCTAAATTCCAAATTCTTCATTATGCACTCACAATATATGAACATATATTCAGTTTGCATATATACATGCATATTGGTTTTCTATTGCCAGGTAACAAATTACCAGAAATATAGCAATTAGAGCAGTACCTATGATTAAAGTATTATCTTGGCTGGGTGCTGTGGCTCAAGCCTGAGGTGGGCAGATCACCTGAGGTCAGGAGTTCAAGACCAGCCTGACCAACGTGAAGAAACCCCATCTCTACTAAAAATACAAAATTAGCCAGATGTGGTGGCACATTCCTATAATCTCAGCTACTCAGGAGGCTGAGGCAGGAGAATCACTTGAACCCAGGAGGCAGAGGTTGCGGTGAGCCAAGTTTGAGCTATTGCACTCCAGCCTGAGCAACAAGAGTGAAACTCCATCTCAAAACAAAAGTATTATAATTTCTGTAGGTCAGAAATCCAGGCACAACTGAGCTTAGTTATCTTCTCAGGATCTCACAAGGCTGAAATCAAGGCTTGGCCAGGCTGCATACTCTTCTGGAGTTCGGAGCCCTCTTCCAAGGTTATGTGGTTGCCAGCAGAATGCCATTGTCTTGAACTGTAGGACTGAAGCCCCCATTCCTTTGCTGGCAGTCATCTAGAGGCTGCTTTTCAGCACCTAAATACTGCTGGAAGTTGCTTCCCAGTGGCTCCCTCCAGAGACTTTCTCCCACTTTGAATCTCTTCTTGCAGGAATGGCTTGGGCCTTTTAAAGGGCTCACCTGTTTAGGTCAAGCTCACCTGGATAATGTTCATTTTGATTAACTCAAAGTTAACTGCTTAGTCACCTAGATACTAGAATGATACTCCATCATTTTCACAGGTTCTGTCTGCACTGAGAGGGAGTTATTCACGGTGTGTACACCAGGGGGCATCTTAGTATTCTCCCTACCACAATGTGTCTGCATTAGATTGAGGTGTTACAGTTAGGCTGTTGGGGAAAAGACTCTGTCAAGATTATTCAAACATTAACCTACCTAAATAGCATCTAGCAAAGACCACTGACGTAAATATATTAATGATGAAGTGCAGAAAAATGTCTGTTTTGCTGCCTCTGAAGGAGGTGAACTGGTCCCATAAAGGACTATGTGGAAAAGGCAGCAGACAGAAAGCTTTGATCCTTTTCCTTGGTGCCGTGTGATATCTAAGGCTTCTTTACTTGACTGTCCCATTCTGAACTCAAAATTAAAGTCCTGGTTTTACAAGGGAAATGCCTGTGTTGTTCATATGTTTGTAAATTTCCGTATGTTTTTCATGCTATTTTTAATTCTATTCCTTTTACTGCTATGGAATGTCTTCTTTCCTTCCAATAGACTAGTTAGTGATTATTAGAGCTTATCAGTGTTATTTTCCTTATTACTTCTGAGTTTTGCATGCCAGTTTGGTTAGTCATTTATTATTATTTAGGCCAAAGTCAGATATTTTATAACTACAGAAGCCAGTTAGTTACCTTGCTTTTGTTTCACAACCCAATACTATAGTATGCACCTAAGGGCCCATCTGAAAGAGATTACTGGTCACGAGAATGTGGCTGTCTCCCAGAAAATTGTCACCGCTACCAGAAAAACAACTGAAAGAACATGGTGTAATTAGAACAATATGGCCAAACATGTTTGGTTAATACTGTATGTTTCCTGAGGAAAGGGAACTTTGCAAATATTTTCCTCCTTTTCGACATGGCTACTATTTTCCTTGCAAGATAGCCATATCCTGCTGAGGAGACAGCATACAGAATATTTACAACATAAAACATACAGAAATTCTTGTCCTGGAATGGTCAGGGGAGGCTTCCTCTAAGCCACGTCCAGAGGAGTTGGCAAAAAGCAGTATGCACATTAATGCACAAAATGCTTGTGGAACAAAATGCTAGAGGAATGGAGACCTGTCAGTCTTTTTCCTTTGGGAAATAACATAACGTGAGTGAAAAGGGTAGAATTTTCAGGACAAGAATTAAGCCATTTTTTAGGGTACAATTCAGCAACAAACCAGTTCTCGCAAAGACGGTTTGAGAGCCTAGAATGGTATTGTCATAAAAGCCAACCAATGGAGTATTAAAGAGAGGGAGGTGGTCAATTTCAAAAGTCCATTTAGATCTCTTCATTTTGTTGTCTCCAGGGTTGTTAGAAAAATCCAAATCTCGAAGAGATAGCATGGGGAGAAATGACAGATACAGGTGAGGGGAAGGAAGGCAGCAAACCACATTGCCATGTGTGTACCTATGCAACAATCTTGCATGTTCTTCACATGTACCCCAAAACCTAAAATGCAATAAAAAAAAAAGAAAAGAAAAATCCAAATCTCAGAAGATTTATTTTAAAATAAAATGCTAACTTAACTCTTACTACAGAGTGGGGATCTTCCCAAGTTAGCAATCATGTTCATTATATTGTAGAACACCAGTAATCCTTTATTGTTATTAAATAATAACTGCAAAGAAATGAAATAAACATTAAAGTCTTTGCTTGTATTTCTAATTATCAGGTTTCATTATAGCTCTCTCTTTTACCAGGAATTTGTATGTGGTGGGAAGGGCCTGGATCAGCTAATTCAGAAACTGCTTCAATCAGCAGATGAAGAAGCCATTGTTGAACTTTTGGATGAAAACCTTAAATCAGCAAAATAAATACTGACTTATTATTTATGATTATATAAATGAAATGGACCTATATCAAGAGACAGACTGAAGTATGGAAATCTATGAATATTTATAAATTACAGCTATAAGAATACATTTTGCATAAATATATATTTTTTAATGAATCAAAGTCACATTTCCTGACCTAACGATTTATTTTAGGTTTCTTGTAAAGTACAATCCAACTCATCAAGTAGAAAACAAGCATGCATCATCGAAAAGAGAAATAAAGTATTGACAATTGATTGTGTGATTTAGGACAGGTCACTTGTTCTCGTTATATGCCTTTCTTCCCCATCCATCTATGAATTAATTTAAACGTATTTTTCAGCTGGGCATGGTAGCTCACGCCTGTAATCCCAGCACTTTGGGAGGCTGAGGCAGGGGATCATGAGGTCAGGAGTTTGAGACCAGCCTGGCCAACATGGTGAAACCTTATCTCTACTAAAAATACAAAAATTAGCCAGGCATAGTGGCATACGCTTATAATCCCAGCTACTCTAGAGGGTGAGTCAAGAGAATCGCTTGAACCCAGGAGGCAGAGGTTGTGGTGAGCAGAGAACATGCCATTGCACTCCAGTCTGGCAAGAGAGCAAGACTATGTCTCAAAAAATATATATATATTTTTTTATCTACTACTTCAGGAATATATGGTAAAATTTAGTGATATATGATCTATACACTAACTTATAAACCTCTTATTTAAAGACAAAGTACTTTGGCCTACAGTGGTGGCTTATGCCTGTAATCCCAGTGCTTTGAAAGGCCAAAGGGGGATGATCTCTTCAGGCAAGAATTCAAGACCAGGGCAAAATAAACCCCAAGTCTACAAAAAAAAAATTCAAAACATAAAGAAAAAACATAATACTGTTAATCATGTTAAAGTTAAGACTTAGACTGCAACTTTTAAGTAAAATTTATGAAGAATATGAGTCACTCAATAACAATGAGCATCTAGGTAGAGACTGTAAAGCTCTTTGATTGCTATATGAATTTTATGCTGTACAAAAAATATGCTGATATTTTAGATAGACTCTCTGCTTGACTTCTATTTTTTTTTCCTCCTGGCAAGCTGGAGTAAAAAAGTTATTGTTTGCTGGCTTAAGTTAATAACCACTAACAGACGTGGTGTAATATGAGTAATACACTGAGATCAGTTTTGTGCAGCATTATATAAAATCCAGACCTTACCTTAAAGAGCTTCCAGTTGACTGAATGATTTAAAAATGTAAATCACCTATTAATACAAAGTGGCATGATATATTTAGTAATTGTTCTGAAGAAGTTGGAAGTTAAAAATGAGGAATGGCCGGGCACAGTGGCTCACACCTGTAATCCCAACACTTTGGGAGGCTGAGGCAGGCAGATCACCTGAGGTCAGGAGTGCAAGACCAGCCTGGTCAGCCCATGGTGAAACTCTGTCTCTATGAAAATACAAAAATTAGCTGGGCATGGTGGCACGCGCCTGTAGTCCCAACTACTCGGGAGGCTGAGGCAGGAGAATCACTTAAACCCAGGAGGTGGAGATTGCAGTGAGGAGAGATCACGCCATTGCATTCCAGCCTGGGTGACAGAGCAAGCCTCCATCTAAAAAAAAAAGAAATTACTATTTTAGATACTCCTCAGAGAACAATTTATATGCCAAGAAAGACTAGCTAGAGTTTTAAGGCCAATGGAATTATTTGAATGTAAACATGAGAGAGAAATGTTTTCCCTAATTTTTATTTTGAAAATATTCAAGCATAAAAAAGAAAAATTCAGGCATAATGAAAAGTCTTTAAAATAAATTATTTAATCTTTTAGAGACAAGGTGTCATTCTGTTGCCCAGGCTGGTGTGCAGAGGCAAGATCATAGCTCACTGCAGCCTTGAATTCCTGGGCTCAAGCAGTCCTCCCACCTTAGCCTCCAAAGTAGCTGGGACTGCAGACATGCACCACATGCCCAGATAATTTTTTTATTTGTTGTAGAGATGGGTTGTTGCTATGTTACCCAGACTGGTCTTGAACTCCTGGCCTTAGTGATCCTCTGGCCTCAGCCTTTCAAAGTAGTGGGACCACACATGTGAGCCTTTGTGCTCAGCCACAATAATTTTTAAGAAATAGTTCAATCAGGAGAGGGCTGAGCAAGATGGCTGAACATAAAAACCTTCACAATCGTCCCCCAATGCAGGAACACTGATTTAACATCTTTATACACACAAAAAAAGCAACTTCAAAAGAACCAGAAATCAGGTGAGCAATCAGAGTACCTGGTTTTAACTTCGTATCACTGAAGGAAGGTAGGAAAAATAGTCTTGAATTGGTAACACTGCCCCTCCCCCATTCCCCTAGCAGTAGCAGGTGTTGTGCCCTTGAGAGAGGGAAAGTACAGTGGTTGTGGGATCCTGCATTGAACTCAAGTGTTGCCCAGTCACAGCAGAAAGCAAAACTGAGTTAAACTCAGCAGATGCCAATCCATCCACAGAAGGAGCATCTCTATCAGCCATAGTCAGAGGGGAATTGCCCATCCCAGTGGTCAGAACTTGAATTTCAACAAGCCTCAACTCTGTGGGCCAAAGTGTTCTAAGGTCCTAAATAAACCTGAAAGGCAGTCTAGACCACAGGGACTGCAATTCCTAGGTAAGTCCTTGTTCCGTGCTGAGTGCAGAGCCAGTGGACATGGGACACTAGTTGGGGTGGCTAAGGAAGTGCTTGTGCAACCCCTCCCACAACCCCAGGCAGTGCAGCTCACAGCAACAAAAGTGACTCCTTCCTTCTGCTTGAGGAGAGGAGAGGAAAGAGTAAGGATTTTGTCTTGCATCTTGGATACCAGCTGAACCACAATAGGACAGGGCACCTGGCAGAATTGTGAGGCCCCCATCCTAGGCCCTAGCTCCCAGACAACATTTCTAGACACACCCTGGGCCAACAGGGACCCCTCTGCCTAAAGGAAGTACCCAGTCTTGCAGGTTTCATCACCTGCTGACTAAGGAGCCCATGGGCCCTGAGTAACCAATAGCAATGCACAGGCAGTATGCTGTGGGCCTTGGGTAAGACTCAGACGTGCCAGCTTCAGGTATCAGCTTGGCCACAGTGGTGTAGGGTACCAAAGGGCTCTTGGGGTTCCCAGGTCCAGACTCTTGGATACCATTTTTGGACCTGCTCTGTGCCAGAGTTCACTACCCTGAAGGGTGAGTCCCAGGCCTGGCAACATTCACCACAGCTGGCTGAAGATCCCTTGGGCCTCAAGTGAACATTGGTGGTCAGACAGAACTCACCATGGGTCAGTGGTGGCAGTGGCCACAGGGAGAGGCTCCTCTGCTTGTGGAAAGGGGAGGGAAGAATGGGAAGGATTTTGTCTTGTGGTTTGGGTGCCAGCCTAGTCACAGGAGAGTAAGACATATTTCTAAGGTTGTTACTCCAATCCCTGGCTCCCAGATAGCATCTCTGGACCTGCCTGGGGCTGGGAGAACTCACCACCCTGAAGAAAAGGACACAAACCTAGTTGGCTTCAACATCTGCTTATTGTAGAGGCATAAGGCCTTGCACAAACATAGGCAGTAGCCAGGTGGTGGTTATAATGGGTTTTGGGCAAAACCCAGTGCTATGCTGGTTTCATGTCTGCCCCAGGGCAGTTGCACTTATGGTGGCCACATGGGTGTTTGTATCACCTCACCCCCAGTTCTAGGTGGCTCAGCACAGAGAGACTCTGGGAAAAAATAAGAGAACAAGAGTTTCTGCCTGGTAATCCAGAGAATTCTTCCTAATCTTATCCAAGACCACCAAGGTGGGACCTCTACAAGTCTGGAAGAACCACAGCATTAGTGAGCTTGGGGCCCTAGTCTTTCTATATACCTGGGAAGCCTTCTTAAGAAAGGCAGGCACAGATTGCAAAGACTAGAATAAATTCCTAACTCTTTATTGCCCATACAAACATCTACAAGCATCAACACCAGCCAGGAAAACATCACCTCACTAAATAAGGCACCAGGGACCGATTCAGAAGAAACATTTTCAGGTAGAATTCAAAATAGTTGTTTTCAGGAAACTCAAAGAAATTGAGATAACATTGAGAAGGATTTCAGAATTCTATGAGATAAACTTAACAAAGAGATTGAAATAACTAAAAAGAATCAAGCAGAAATTCTAGAGTCAAAAAATGCAACTGACATACTGAAGAATGCATCAGAGTTCAGTCCCTCAATAGCAGAACTGGGCAAGCAGAAAGAATTAGTGAGGGTGATGACAGCCTATTAGAAAATACACAGAGGAGCACTGTGGCTCACGCCTGTAAACCCAGCACTTTGGGAGGCCGAGGTGGGTGGATCACCTCAGCCGTCAGGAGTGCATGACCAGACTGACCAACATGGTGAAATACTGTCTCTACTAAAAATACAAAAATTAGCCAGGTGTGGTGGTGCATGCCTGTAATCCCAGGTACTTGGGAGGCTGAGGCAAGATAATCACTTGAACCCAGGAGACAGAGGTTGCAGTGAGCTGAGATCACGCCACTGCACTCCAGCCTGAGCAACAAGTGAAAGTCCATCTCTCACACACACAAAGAAAAAAAAATACATATAGGAGATCAAAAAAGAATCAGAAAGAATGAAGCACACCTACAAGATCTAGAAAATAGCCTGAAAATAGCAAATTTGTGATTGGCCTTGAGGAGGCAGATAAAGAGATTGGGTAGAAGCTTTCTTCAAATGGATAATATCACAGAACTTCCCAAACCTAAAGAAAGATATCAATATTCAAGTACAAAAAGGCTATAGAATGACATGCCAATCTAACCCAAAGAAGACTACCTCAAGATATTAATCAAACTTCCAAAGCTCAAGGATAACGAAAGGATCCTAATAGCAGCAAGAGAAAAGAAACAACATACAATGGAGCTCCAATATGTCTGGAAGCAGACTTTGCAGTGGAAAGTTTACAGACCAGAGAGAGAGTGGCATGACATATATAAAGTGCTGAAGGAAAAAACTTTTACTCTAGAATAATATATCCAGCAAAAATATCCTTTAAGCATGAAGGAAAAATAAAGACAGAAAAAGCTGAGGGATTTCATCAACACCAGACCCGTCCTTAAAAAAGAAAGAAAGAAAGAAAAGCTAAAGGGAGTCCTTCAATCTGAAAGAAAAGGAG